CGGTACGTAACTAACTAGTAGTAGTAGTAGATATAAATAAGTACGGTAGGGTAAGTAACGTAAACTAATAGTAGTCGACTACGTACCTCGTCTCTCTCTCTCTCTCTCTCTCTCTCTCTCTCTCTCTCTCTCTACTTAAATGGAAGCATCAAGTTTTCAATTTAGATATTGCACCTCTACATGTAAGGAAATGTTATCTAACCTCTTTATTCAGAATATTCTGGTCCCTGATCCATAGCCTCTTAATAAGGAAAATGTTGACCATTCATAAGGAAAATTTTAATTTTAATATTTACAAAGTTTACTTCTATTCTAGAACTCATATTCACATTGTCTTGCATATTAGGTATGAAGAAGCTGAGAATGATTGTACTGAGGCCTTAAATTTAGATGATCGCTATGTAAAAGCATATTCACGACGTGCGACTGCAAGGAAAGAACTGGGAAAACTTCATGCATCCATTGAAGGTTGATGAACTATTATTACTTGTTTCTTGTTTTTTTTTCAGGGATAGATTGGTGTGGTATTTTTCTATACTGAAGGAATAGCATCTTGCAGATGCTGAATTTGCACTTAGGCTGGAACCTAATAACCAAGAACTCAAGAAACAATATGCAGAGATTAAAGAAATATTTGCTAAGGTGAGCTTCCTGCTATAACTCTTAGCATTTTTTGGTTCCTGCACAATATTATATTATCAAGCTTAAAATCCAATTTTGGAAAGTAGCTTACCCCAAATATTTATGTTTATGAACCAGGGAAAGTATACTGCATCAAATGAACTATGAAAATACCATATCCCATCTGGTAATCGCTGTCCCATGATATGATGGATAGTGATAAGGGAGTGGGCCCCACCATTGTACCATGTCTTGTTCTATGGGTCCTTTCTCTCCATCATTATCCATCATTTCAGACAGTTATGACCTAATGGACTGTGGTTTTCCCATGGTCCACAGGATTATGATATGCTCTAAGGAACTAATTTATATGTAATGTACTGCTCAAGATTATTGCAGTGCTTGATATGGAGCATCTGGGAACGTGTCAAGCGAGCTTTTAAGAAATCATGCCGTTAGTTTTAGTAAAAGTTCTGGTTGTTGTTTAATGGTCAGTCGCTGTTGTCTTCAAAGCTTCTTCGGATTGTTTCATGCAGATAGCCATGAAGAAGATATCAGGTGCAGGCAAAAGCTCCACTCAAGACAGTGGAAACAAAAGAGATTCAGTGTCAGAAATTAAAATAGATGTACAAGATGCCCAACCACAAAGATCCCAAATGGTAAGTAATCCATGATATCTTAATAATTAAGCTGTAGCTGGTCCAACCCTTCTGTTTTCGTAAGTTGGATTAGGGTTCTTGCTTACCCAGCAACAAGAAGAAGAGGATCTATCGGTTAAACTACTTTTGCATGGTTCTACTGCTGTTTCGCAAAGATTTTCACTTCATATTTTTTTTTGCAATCAGAAGACCATGAAGTAGTATTTGTCTATAAAATTTGAATAATCTAATATAGTTTTGCCTCTCTGTGAACAAACTTCAAAAGTCAGTCTATTAACCACTCAAATTGTGAGGATTGGAAAATGATATAAAATATGCAACAATTAAAAACTCATAGTGGCTTGACTTTCTGGGTTTGTATTGGCCAGCATTTATGAACTTTTAGATTTCAAATTGTGGAAGAGAACATCGTTGACGAATTTTGTTTATCTCATGGTTCTAGGACAGTTTGACATTCGATCAATGTTTCTTATTCATATGCTTGCTATATACAGGATAGTAATGGGAAGATCTCTAAGAAGGACCCTAGTGTTATGAAGGAAGTGCAAAGCAGGCGGACACCAGAAGACCTGAATGTAAGATTGGGATCTCAAGAAACCCATGGGAGTACACCTGCTAAATCCCAACTCGATGTATCTAAGGTTTTTCTCAAGAACATGAACCCTTATATGTTATGTTTTGCTGGGAACTCTTATCTTTTAGCCTTATTGAAGCTTTAAGATACAAATAGTGGGTTATGGCTATTAAGCTCAATTTTAATATCCTATGGGTGACTGAAAAAGGCAGCGTGTACTTTGATTTATCATCTGTGGATTCCAAAAGGAAAATGAATGTCACTTAGGAATTCAAAAAGTTCAATTTTTGGAGTGACTGCATGGTGAAGTATGTAAATACCTATGAATGTGATGCTTTAAACTGAAGTGGACTATTTTGTGGTATGTAAGGCCGTCAAGAGTTTAAGAAATCATTGTATCAAAACTTGTGTCTTCTTGCATCATGTTGTCAGCTACTTTGTTGTATATATATATATATATTGTCGAAGTCGAATAATTCTTTTATATATCTTTCTGTAGTTGAATAATACATTACTCTATTTGGAACTGGATTGCCATATGGAATTGATCTTGCACCAGAGAAGTAACATCAATCAAATGCAAAAGACATTATATGGTTTTCCATATAAATAATGTTGGATTTTGATGTCCCTTGAAAATATAGCTGTGTGCCAAATCCCTTCTTCATGTAATGAGCATTCCAACGCCCCATACCTTCTTCTGACACTGACACAAGTATCCATGTACGTGCAAAGTAGCGCTTTAGATATGCCTTGAATAACGTGCCTGTGGTGAGTGCTGATCACTCATCAGAGGTTTTACCAGTAGTATTGTCTATAGGAGTTGCTCAATTTATCTGTTGCTGGTTCAAGATTTGCTTTTTTGCATTTCCATCTACTGATGATACATGTTTTCTATCTCGTGAAATACACACAATGAGAGTTCAGACACTTTAACAATACTTCTAAAAGAAATCATGGCGATTATCAATTTCAACTTTCAAAGATCCTTTTGGATTCCTCTTTTTTTTTTGGGGGTGTAGTTCAGTTGGGGAAGAGTCCTTAGGGATTTCTAACATATGAGATATTAGACAAGTGATTTTTGAAAAAAGTTAATGCATAACAGGGATCAAGAAAATAATTACAAAAACATAATGACTCCATATATCACATAGAACTCACTCTATCCTTCCATCTGTACTTGAACATTGAGGATTCAAAATGATATTTTCATAGGCATCTCGTATTGAAGATTGTAGCTCTGTGACGGATTCACTAGGCTTGCATAAGATGTTTCAAGAAGCCCTAGTTCTTCAAAATAAATTAAAAGGTCTGGAACAAATAGGACCTTGATGATATTAGTATTCATGGTTGCTTTCGGTAGCTCAAGGTTAGGGTGTTCTTATCATTGACTTCTATAGAAGAGATGATTGAGGCCTGTGTGATGAGTGGATCCCCTAAAAGAGATGGTTGAATTTAGTGTCAAGCACTCAAGCATTGCTAGTTCAAAAGAAGACATTAGGCTTACTTGTTTCTTTCCTTAGTCAGATTTTTCAGTGTCGCATTTGGTGGCTGCATGATGATCAAATGATTCACACAAGATTCTTAAATTGGAGCTCTTTAGTTATGATATGTTCATTTTATACTTCCCTTTTCTCTCCTCTGCACAAGCTGGTATTTGAAATGCTTGTATGTGATTTGCCCAGGAACACACATTTGCTCCAGTTTCCTTGTAATATTTTAGCCTTTCTTTTATCTTTCCTATTTCTTTTTCTTTTTTATGTATACTTCTTTTACATGATTATGTGAAAAACTCAATAGTCTATTATTCTCTGAACAGGATAATCACAAAGAATTCATGAAGCACCAATCCAAGGAGTCCATCCTGGAAGTTGCTTCACGTGCAGCTTCTCGAGCAAAGGCAGCAGCCGCACAAAATATTGCAACCCCAAAGTCGGCATATGAGTTTGAAGTTGCTTGGAGAAGGCTCTCTGAAGATCGTGCCTCTCAGTGTCTTCTTCTAAAAGTCGGTGTTACTCATTTTAGTGCCTTTTTTTGCATTTTTTTTATGCCTTCTTCTATATATATAATGAACTGCAAACTAATCAAATTTCTTTCTCAAGGAAGACTATCTTACCCGAGTCGCTACCACAATTATTCAAGAATGCACTTTCTGCCCCTATGTTGATTGAAATCATCAAGTGTGTAGCAGAATTTTTTAGGTGGGTACTGTTTTTCTCTATTTATAATGACTTTGTGTGAGAATACACATGAGGCCTATGAATTATTATGATTCCTAAATCCTTCTATTCTATTTTTCAGGGAAGAAACCAATCTGGCTGTCAATATTTTGGATAATTTGACCAGAATTGGACGGTTTGATATGATCATCATGTGTCTTTCCTCAAAGGATAAAGCTGGTAATCTTTGGGCTCTTTTTCTTTTGTGATAAGTGACATTACATTTATATGATTTATAATTTCTGTAGAGATTCCTTTACTGGTTTGGATCCATGATATGCCTTGGTGGAATCCATTTTACAATTGTTATCATTAATGGGCTGCATGGTGCTATCTATCTTTTCAACTGGTTATTTGAGCACATTAGTCAATCAGAGACATGCATCATAATGCTGTTTCCAATTGGAAAAAACAAAAATGTCTCCTATAGCAATCTATGAGAATCAATATAAGAGGTTTCATGTCATGAGCTGGCCATAGTCTAGCTAGAAATTCTTCACATTATTAGTATATAAAAATTTGTCACGTCGTCTATTCTGGATTTCAAATATGACCTAGATAATAGAAAAAGTACTAAGAAGTTGCTTCTTTTGTCTTTCCTCTGAGTATTCCACTTTAGTGTTACTTACATTTTGTTGTTTGTTTGTTGGTTCTGGGGAACTTAGATCTCCAAAGGATTTGGGATGAAGTCGTCTCCAGTTGTGCAGTAACAATGGAGCATGCAGAGACTCTTGAGCGGTTGCATTCAAAATACTGCCCTCGATGATGCCACAAGGTGCATATTTACTGATCCTTCAGCTGTGATTAATGTAGAGCTGGTAAATATGATACATTTAATCTTTGTGGATCTTATGGAAAATTTTGGATATTGGCCCAAAATTTCATGTCCTTTTCATTGTGATAAAATTTTGTTTCACTTGTATTGCTTTGTGCAAAGAGCAGCGTGGGGGATTTTGTTAATGCATTATATGACTGCAAACCTAGGAAATAGAATCAAGCAGAGGTTTTATGTGGAGATTGCAAATATTGGTTGATGATTTTCGTGTCTCCTTCATTGTATTTAATCCTTTATTTTCTTGTGCAGTTATCTGGGAAATGCAATGTAAAAGGGTTTACAGTGGGAGATGTTGGGGCTTTTGAAAGTGGGCACTCTTGCCAGATTGCTCTAGAGTTGCACTGGGAGATTTTAGGGCTTTCAAAGGTGGGCACTCTTCCCAGATTCATCTAGTTGTAGTTCATTGCATTGGCGACCCACGTTTGGGACTCTTTGTATTGAAAACATGTTATGTTTTGCAAGGGCTAAGCTGGAATGTTGAGGTTCTTTTTCTTTGTATTCTGGTGATTTTGAGCCACCTTGTCTGCCTTTGGGCGCGTCCCCAATTGGCTAGGAGATATTCTAAAAGTGGGATTGAAAAACAAGTCGTTGAGTGTCGGGACAATTCTGAGGTTCTTCCTTCGGAATTGCCAGGTCCCGATATTAGCTGATCCGGACATGCCGAGTGGGCCCAGCAATGTCTTAATCGCTGTGGCTTTGTATCACTAGCCAATTAGAATACAAATTAGTGTATGATTATATGTATTCGAGTTGGATTTGGAAAGGAGGAGGAGAGAGAGAGTTGAACGTCAACATCTAAGTTTTAATCCCCGCTAAGCCAACCAATTGAAAACAAATATTAATGCCCATTTTGCGAAACCCCTTGTTGATTAACCTTAAAAAATTGTGGGTTGTGGCTGCCGTCCAGGCTTATTGGCCATGTTTACTTAGGTTAGAATCCCAATTACCTATGCTAACCTACTCAAACAATCTTTTGAATTGAAAAGATATATCCCATATTTATTTAGGAAATTTATTATGCAGGTATGGGTATAAATTTTTCTGTAAATTCCCAGAATGGGTGTAAGATGAAGTTCCTTAAGACTGAATCATTTTATATGCTCTTTATCTTCAAAATTTGCATCGTAATATCTTTTTACTGTTTAGAGAGACACCGAAGGAGCCACCGTCATCCTATTGTCCATCATTAATGCATTAGTATCACTAAACCATTCTCTCTGACTCACATGGTCATTTTCTTTATGACCTCATGTTTAGCTTACCTGTGGATTGGGTAGGTTTAAATTTACCAAAGTGCGTTTAAGATAAGAGATTAACTATTGAACATTGAACTTTTCGAATTTAGTCTAAAAAATCTCATCGAGATGCGTTTGCTTACGAGTTAAAAATGGTTAGGCGGATTTTGATTAATTTCTCGCTTTATTTTTATTAGTCACTTCGACATGAGTGAATAACAATAATCAAGCAACTTGCTCCTAGTTTAGTGGCATTGAGCTCTTCATTTTAAGACGGCAAATACTTTTTATGCATATCTATTTTATATAAAAAAATGGGGTCAGTTGGGGTCGCCTAATTCAGATTAGGAACTAGGGATTTTGGGTTGTAAAGCCTGGAGTCCTTTAAATACTGGTTTTTCGCAAGTTTTTAGTTTGCCTTGTATTCCTTTTTTGGTTATTTCTTGCAAACATTTTAATGGATTACTCTTTTGGCGTGGTTATTTCGTGCAGACATTTTAATGGAGGACTAGTTTGAAGCTCGGATGATGGTGGTGATGATATTAATGGACTAGTTTGAAAGATACGTGAAATTCTTAGAAAAACCAAAACCTATAAGGACAAGATTATGTTATTAAGAAACCTCTTGGTTCTATAAACTTTTTAAATTTCCCTAGCATATCTTTATGCATGTAACGAATAATGGAAAATAAATCACGGCATGTTTTTATTGAATTGTACCAAGAGAAAAAACTTTTTTCCCATATTATTTACCAGAAAAATAATAAAAAGCATATGTAGGTGGTAGTAGTGTGAATGGGGAAACAAGAGAAGTTTTGGTTGTTATCTTAGCCTTGTTGGGTTCCCCAGAAATGGGTCTATGTACTTAGTACTCACACTATGGGAAACAAAAGAACGTTTGGTTGTTATCTCAGCCTTGTTTGGCTCCCCAGAAATGGGTCTATGTACTTAGTACTCACACTTTTTCTTAGTTTTTTATATTTTATAGCTTTTGAACATCGTATCACATATACTTGGGGGAAAAAAAAAAATTATAGTTCACACAAAGCTATGTAATATGATATCAAGGCTGGAACATAAGGAGAAAATGGATGAATATAATAGATATGTGTGAGGCTTTTTCAAGTCTCTTTAGCATGTATATAGGAGAAGCAAACAACATTCTTGATGGCTAGGCAAAGTTTCTATTTTTACCTCAGGATGTGTATAGGGAAGCAAACAACATTATTTATGGCTAGTCAAAACGAGAAGCCCTCAGGATGTGTATAGCGAAGCAAACAACATTATTTATGGCTAGTCAAAACGAGAAGCGACATTGTTCTAATGTTTTCCCTCTTTTGAATGGTTGTAATTCTTGACTGATCAATAAAGTTAAAGTAATCGAGTCAAAAAAAATGTTTCTGAACGCATTTCTACGTATCCCAGTGAGGCATCATCTTAGAGATGGATGCAAGTACGTCTTCCATCTAAAAACAATGGAAACTAACAGTCCAAAAGTTTTATTATTATAATATTTTTAATTTATACAAATTTTATTATAATATTATTTTAATTTATAAATTTTATTTATTTTTTTATATTCATGATGTCTATGTTAGAGATTACATATCTTTAAAAATTAAATCTTAAAATCCATCTCAAAAATAAATTTATTAAGAGGCCGGCATTTCTACATATGCGGGCTTCACGACATCGGGTCCTACACAAAATGTATTTTATTTTTATTGGTGCTTATCCCCATCAGATCTGGCCTTGGCTTCCTAAGTTGTACTTGTTCCCTTAAAATTTGAGTTATTTAAGGGTTTATTTAATATTTATATGTTATATCGAGTAGAATATAGCGGTTGATCAAATGCATTAGCACCAAACTGCACCAAACCACTAATCTTTGTTTATTAATATTATTTTCGGTCGTTTTCGATTTTACAATACTAACTAATGTTTTTTCTGTCTTTTTTTTCCTTTGAGATATGATTAGCAAGCATCAATTTGCCTCTTTCCTATTATATGTGGAGAATTTTCTGCTATGATCGGTTACTGATCTAGGTCTCTTACCATCGAATGTCCCAATTCCGCGTATTTTTGTTTAGGGTAAGCGTTCTGTGCTTCCCCTATTTTATGCTATCTTTCCCTTTATCGAACCGTCCATTCTGAATAGAGGGCTAAGATTGTCCCAATCATAATGTCATGTCTCTACACTATTTCATTTTTTATTTTTTTTTCTATAAACTATTTTGACACCAAATTTTGGATGTCCATTCCTCTATTAAACTCGCACTAGTGAAAAATATAAAAAAAATATTTTCAATAAAAAATAACCAAAATACCCCTGAAAGTTTCAAAGCGTATTTTGGTCATTATATTTTATCCAATAATTATTTTCAATATTTTTTATAGGTGCGCCCCAATGAGAAGATGTCACGTACCAAATTTCATATTCATACAATTTGTATAAAAAAAACTAAAAATAAAATACTTTGAGACATCGGATCTAATATCAAACGGTGAATAGCTCTCTTAATCAAGATTGGATGGTAGGAGGAGGATAGAACTTCTATGCTGTAGAGGAAGCATAGAAACCTTTCCCTTATGTTTATTAATATTATTTTTTATTGATTAAGTAAAATCCATTCATCGTTTTGCAACACCAATATATGTTTTTTTTTTCTCATTTCATATCTTTTCAAGATGAAGTAAACTCACTCATGGTTTTACAACACTAACGTAGGTTTTTTTTCATTTCAAATCTTTTCTATCATTTTCTCATTTCAGATCTTTTCTATCATATTAGGAAAACGTGTATATGACCATACGAGGAAAACGTGTATATCATCTATTCAGCTATGTTGAAATTTTGGAATCCCTTTTGAGAATCACTAAACAATTTTAAACAAAAAAGACATTCTAAGTTTTTTAACCCTCAATCAATTTTTCACCTCAAATTAAAAAATCTTATCATTATTATATAAGGAAAAGTATACATCTATTTTTAATATCGCAACCATTCTTTTTCATCAGATTTTAAATCGGATATTGTGAGCATATCATTAACTACACTCAATCATTAAAAAAACATTATCGAACTTTGCAAGACATCCTAAGCCATCTAATTTAACTGTTAGTTATAACATTATCGAAATTTACAAGACATCCTAGCCATCTAATTTGAACCATTGTTACTTATAATAAGACATTATAAGTTTTTTAACCCTCAATCAATGTTTTCACTTCAGATTAAAAAAAAGCTTACCATTATTATATAAAGAAAAATACACATCGATTTTTAATAAGGCAAGCTTTCTATGCTTCCCCTATAACATAGAAGTTCTATCCTCCCCCTTATCCAACTGTCCATTCTGAATGGAGGGCTAAGATTGTCCCAATCACAATGTCACGTCTCTACACTATTTTATTTTTTTATTTTTTTCTATAAACTATTTTGATACCAATTTTTTAATATCTATTCCTCAATTAAACTCGCACTAGCAAAAAATATATAAAAAAATATTTTCGATAAAATAAAATGATGAAAATACCTCTGAAAGTTTCAAAAGGTATTTTGGCCATTATATTTTATCGAAAACTTATTTTTAATATTTGTTATAGGTGCGCCCCAATGAAAGGATGGCACGTACCAAATTTCATATTCATACAAATTGTATAAAAATAAAATAAAATAAAATACTTTGAGACATCGGATCTAAGATCAAACGGTGAGTGGCTCTCTTGATCAAAATTGGACGGCTAGATGGTAAGAGGATGATAGAACTTCTATGCTATAGGGGAAACATAGAAACCTTTCCCTTTTTAATATCGCAATCATTCTTTTTCATCAAATTTTAAATAGGGTATTGTGAGTATCATTGACTACACTCAATCATTAAAAAAAAAACATTTTCGAATTTTGCAAGACGTCCTAAGCCATCTAATTTGACATATAGTGTTACTTATAATAATGAAAACATTATCGAAATGTGTAAGACATTCTAAACCATCTAATTTGAACCATTGTTACTTATAATCATTTGATGTAAAATCTAAATAGTTTGGGTATATCATACTGTTCGAGAAAAATTTTCTTTGAAGTTTGAGCTTGGTCAATAGAATAAATGCAGCCATCTAATTTCACATCCAACAGTCAAAATTGAAGCACAAATATAAAGAAGATGTATCACCTAAAAAATATAGTTGACGAGGATGTGGTGGATTTTTTATGCTTGCAAGAAGAAGCATTACTTGACAAAAAGTAAAAAATAGAAAG